ACCAGCTATTACAACGGCGTGGCTATCAAGATAGTGCGACTATTGTATCGGCTGCTCGGTCGGGCGCTGGTGCTGGTGGAGCAGCCCCTTTTCACCTACCTGTACCTGTTCCGCGAGATGTTGGGCATCATCGGCATGTCGGGGGTCGTCTTGTTTCGCGCGGACGACTGCATGGTGGGAGCTTCGTGGATGAAGCCGCGGGCCTGGTTTGCACATTGCTTGTGGATCGCGGCGAAGACTAAGAGCGCATGTTCGCACCCGCGCCCTCATCCTGAGCGACTTGTCGGCACGGCCAAGACGCGGAGTTTAGCGCCGTGCCCGAAGGAGCTTGTCCAGAATATCGTGGAGGGCGCCATCTCCGAGCTTCAGAACTTCGGCGCGTTCATGAACGTCACGGTGGCCGAGGCAGCGCAGACGTTCTTGGATCGCGAGCCCCGCATTCGCGTCAAAGGGGCGATGTACCACGGCGCCTTCGGCGACTGGGTGGTGCGCGGCCGTCACAAAGCACGACAGATTCGTAATAGGTTAGCTTTTGGGGATGGCTCCCAGACAGACGAGGCGGTTCAACGTGCACCTCTTCCCGCAGAAAAGCCTGCTGAGTTCGTCGCGGCCAAGGGCGAAGATCTCAGGGTCACCGGTGGACTTCGAGAGGGAGGAGCTATCGCGCCTGCAGCGCGCCGACCCGGAGTTCGCCGAGATCATCATCGCCTGCAGCATCTTCGTCGAGGTCGAGTACGCCGCGGTGGTCTCCGCCGATCAGAGGCAGGTTACCGAGGACCGTATCTCCCGCAAGGTGCGCGACGCCTTGGACGGCAAGAGCCTCAAGGAGAAAAGCAGGAGGGTGGAGGTCGCAGTGCAGGCTATGGCGAACTACACCTACGTCGACGAGCTTCTCTTCTGCAAGGTCCTGAACCCAGTCGACAATGCCATGGTCGACCGCATGGTGATTCCTGTAGAAGGTTTGCGGGCCTTCATCTTCGCTGGGCGCCGGTACCAGCTGATGCTAAGGCGCGCGCTGTTGCTGGCGTGCCACGACTCCGAGAGCATGGGCGCCCGCTCCAGCGTCAAGGACGCGACGGTTAAGCTGCAGAAGGTGGTGGCCTACGCTCGAGAGGGACGTCATTCACTGGGTCAGCCATTGTTCGGTCTGTCGTCTGGTAAAGCCGAGACCTGGGATCACGACCGACCAGAAGATGGAGCTGCACGACCGTCTGTGTCGCGTCATATTCATCGACGCCCTCGGGCCGATCCACCCGAAGGACGGCGACAACGAGTGCATCTACCACGCCGAGTGCCCTTTTACGCGGTGGGCTTGGGCGCGTCCAGCGCGCAGCGACACCGCGGAAGAGTGGGCCAAGTTCTTGGTGGAGGAGGTCTTCCTGGACCTCGCGGGCTTTTCCGCCGTCCTGCGCAGCGACCGCGGCCCAGCTTTCGTGTCGCCGATGGTCGCCGCCGTCGACCAGTTCCTGGGCATCTCGCACGTCTTCGGCGCGGCGTTCCATCCGGAGAGGCAGGGGTACATCGAGGGTTGCCACAGGACGATCAAGCAGGTGCTTGCGGCGTATTGCTCAGCCTACCCGTCGAAGTGGGCCAGGTGGGGAAAGCTCGCGCAGTGGGCTCTTCGTGCTATTCCTCGAGCCGACTGCGGAGGCTGCAGTCCCTACGAGCTGGTGTGTGGCTTGGTGCCGCAGGGGCCGTTGGACCACCTCTCTTTCGCAAGCTCGACGGTGCCAAGACGATCGACCCTTCCAGCTACGTCGCCGGCCTGGTGGATAACTTGGAGAGCATCTACGAGAAGGTCGGCGAGGAGGTCCGCGCCGAGTGCGCCAGCAGGTTCTCTCGTGCTGAGCGTGCTGGAAAGGAGAGCTACGTGCTCCGGCCAGGGCACAAGTTCTTCTTGACGCGCGTGCCGGCGGCGGTCAAGCCTGCCGGCGAGGAAGCGGTCATTGGCCGCTTGCTCCCGCGCGCGGACCCCACTGTTTACGATCAAGGAGATGGTCTCGCCGCAGACAGCCATTCTCTGCAAGCCAGACACGCGGGAAACGCAGTTGGGTGGATTCTGACAGGGAGTTGTACATCGAGCTACTCACCGGTTGGCAATGGAAACCTGCCGCGGTCGTAGCGCAGTCAGCTACTGGAGCAGTTCGCCTGGTCTGCTCAGACGGACGCGAGAAGATCACCTACCTCGACTCGGAGGAGTACCGTTGGGTCTCGCCAGCGTAGTTGCGTATTTTCCGTATCAGTGCCATTTGATTCGGCAGTCTTCCATATCCGTGTTGTCAGACTCAGCTTTTTACTTCAGCAGGCGTGCCGTTGGCTCGGTGCGCGCAGGTTCGCAGAGCTAGGGGGATGTTGGTTTGGAGTGGAGCCTATAGTATGTGTAGCTCTCCTCTCCTTCATTTCTTTCGCCTCAGAGCCTTTTACTTAACCCTAAACTCGCTCGCAAGCGTTTTCCTAATGGAGTTAGGTTGTGCAACTTTTGAGCTGTATAGTAAAAGGGCGTCTGTGGCTTCTAGGGTTCATTAGTGTGCAGTTCCGGACTCAGCGTGATCGACTTCACAACCTTGTGAATTTCCCAGGGTGCTCGGGGCACTTCTGCGAATTTCAGTTTTTTGGGCCGAGCCATTTCGACACATGCGTCGGTATGGCTCGTGGGTCTCTAAGGAGGCCGAAGTCTTCAGGCTAGGAAGCCGGGGGCGCCAGTATCGTGCAGAGCAGGGTGCGCTGATGAATTCTGTTTTAGTTTCAGCCCCGTAGGCCACTTACAGCACGAGTAACAACCCTTCCGGAATTTTTACAGAAATATTCCGGGCCAGCGCTTGCATGCGTGAGGTAGCTTGCAGCACGGGAAAAACAGCAGCAGGTTGTACCGCAACCAATTTGGCTCAAGCACGAGAGGAAAATAATTCCTCATCGATCCAACGATTCTTGTCGACTGTTTTGCAGAGCTCCGCCAGTCACTTTAATTTTATATGTGGTGAAGTTTCGTTTGTTTTCAGAGGTCCGAAAAAAAGAGAGAGAGAGAGAGAGAAAAAGGCAGTGGAGGAAGGGAAGGGGGGGGAGGAAGGGGGGAGGGAAAAAGGAAGAGGGTCAGCCGCACCAGTCCGGGCACTGGCACTGCTTTAAATGGTGGTGCGCGAGCGGCATTTTCGGAGAAAGTAGCGAAGGCCAGTCAGGGCGTCGCGAGGCGAAGTCAAAACTAGGCTCTTCGAGATGGCGGAAATGGCGAGGGCGGGGAGGGGGGCAGGGGAAGAGAGAGGACGAAAGAAACGAAAGAAGACGGAGGGACTGAGCCCCAACACAGTCTTGTGGACAACCACGAGCATAGCGAGGTCCCTCCTGGCCGTCAAGTGTGCGATATTCAACATCAGCAGCGCGTCCAACGGCAGGATGTCTACAGCTCGAGAAACCTGGTTAAAACACCTAAAACACCGTCAAAAGGGAGGAGGGCGGAGGAAGAAGCGCGGGCTATGGCCGGCGCTCGGTATTCGAAGACACTTAAAACGTGAGCTTTAAATGTTCCCAGCAGCTCGGCGTCCGAATGGTAACGCCGCGGGCCGCGAGCGCAGAATGGTGTGGACGCGCCAGTTGGCTTCAGAAACACATTGGTTGATGGCACCATGCATTCAAAGTTGCGGATCAAACCTGATCCCGAGAATTTTGAAGGCACCCCCCGCAGGCCGGGCTCGTGAGACGATGTGATGGCTCCTTGCTGCTATTGAAACCGGGTTTGCCTGTCCCATTCGGAGGGAGCTTTGGCAAGCGGATGAGCGAGCGAACACGGGAGCCAGTCGAGACCTCGCGGGACCCTGGGGGGCTGCAAGGTGGCAGGTATCGCCGATGTCGTGGGGTCCTGACAGGTCCAGCGGAGTGGAGTTGTAAACAGACCCAGCCGAGACCTCGCGGGACCCTGGGGGTTGCGAAGTGCGCAACTGTCGCCCATTTCGTGGGCTCCTGGGAGGTCCAGCGGAGCGGAGTTGTAAACATATTCAGCCGCGATCTCGCGGGACTCTTGGGGGCTGCGAAGTGTGCAACGGTCGCCAATGTCGTGGGCTCCTGGGAGGTCCAGCGGAGCGGAGTTGTAAACATATTCAGTCGAGACCTCGTGGCTCCTTGGGGGCTGCGAAGTGCGCAGCCGTCGCCAATTTCGTGGGCTCTTGGGAGGTCCAGCGGAGTGGCGTTGTAAACAGACCCAGCCGCGATCTCGCGGGACTCTTGGGGGCTGCGAAGTGTGCAACTGTCGCCATGTTTGTTGCGTCTTCGGTCCCGTGGAGTGGAGAGACACGGTGATTCAGTTGAGACCTCGTTGCTCGCGGAGTGCGGGGCCACGGGGATCCAGTTGAGACCTCGCTGTTCCCTAGGGGGCTGCGAAGAGCGAAGTTGTCGCCACTTCCGTGGGCTCCTGGGAGGTTCCGTGGAGTGGGGGGCCACGAGGATCCAGTTGAGACCTCGCGGGTCCCTGGGGGGCTGCGAAATGAGGGGGCCCGGGGAGCCAGTTGAGACCTCGCGGCTGCCTGTGGAGCTGCGAAGTGCGCAATTATCGTCTTTTTCGTGGGCTCCTGGGGGTCCCGCGGAGTGGGGGACACGGGGGTCCAGTTTGGACTTTGTGGCTTTGGGTTCGTCCCTGGGTCATTTTCATGACCACGGGGGTGCTGTTCAACATTCCATCTAATCGCAAGATCTGGCAATTCCATCGGTGGACCTCATTACTTTTTGTATGAGTCTCGGCTCACAAGTGCCACTTGTACATGTTTGTACGTGGTATAGGTATATGTTTCTCTCCATACATGCCAATACGTATATCTCTCTATATGAATGTGTTGAATATATAATGCAGAATGTGTATGTGCTGAAATGCAAGTACATTTGGCAGAGTTCGGCATAATGTTCTTTGGAGCTACTGGACGTGACTGATGGCCCACTGGTTGGAGACGGCCGAGATTTGGTGGATTCGAATAGAAAGGCAGTTGTATACCTTGGGAGATGGGAAGACCGCAAAGGTGCACCGATACCAGCAAGTGCACCTGGCACGTCGACGAGTGGGGCCCATGCGACAACAGCTGCGGAGAGGGAGAACAGCGTCGCAACGCCACCGCCTCGGATGCTGTAATTTTTGCAAGTTGTTCAAGGTTGCAATATGTGATATGATGTGCTGTTGCTAGTGCATACATTGTTCATGCACTGCGGTTGGACAGTAGAAGCAGTGGAACAAACACCTAGGAAGAAGGCTGAGTCGGATAGCAACGTGGCAGGAGTTGCCGGAGTGAATACTCATGTTCTTTTGGTATCATGGTCTGCAGTACGCGTCCAGGTATCCCGTCTATCTTCATTAAGCGGATCCGTCTGTGCAGGCGTGCAGCACGACGCAGGAATGACTTTCAGGACTGTGCCAGCTCGGCGAGTCAGACAAGCGGCGGCAACCAGAAGCGGATGTCTACCTGCGAGCGGTTCTGCGAACCATTTCCGTCCATGACAGTGTCCTCAGAAGCAAGATTTCATTCTTCGGGCTCCTTTCAGACGAGTTTCATTTGTCCACCTTGATTCCAGCCTCCTGGGCCTCTCGGCAGGTGACCTGCGCCAACGGCGCGGACGAGTTCTGCGACCAGAGGTCCCCGCGACCAAACGAGACGCGGAGCGCTGCTGCCGCTCCAATTCCGCCTTGTGGCTGTCTCCACGAGGGCCAGCCGTGGTGCGAGAGTGAGGTCAGCAACATGTCGATGGTTTCTGTGCGAGTCAGGTAGGGTGGGTTTGTCATGCGTCCCGTTGGGCAGTCCGTGCCGACCAGTGGTAGAGGGCCGCCCCCCCAGCGGGCAGGAGGTGTGCGGACTTCGAGGGCTGCGCGTGGAAAGCGAGTGGGTGGCCCTGCTGCTGCTGACGCCCCCGGTGGCAGAGGAAACTGGGACGGATCTGGAGATATTGTCAGTGACGGAGTCTGAGCCCCCCCAGACGCCTTCGCGTCAAGAGCAACCTGCGACGAGTTTCGGCTTCTAACTTCTGGGTGACGCGGCGGGACCGTCAACAGTTGTTCAGGATGAAAATCTGATCCACGGGATGGAGTCGAGACCTTGATGGGTCCTCGTCGTGACATAATTCGCTGCGGAGGTAATGAAACGTGCATCTCTTTCTAGCGTTTTCTTCTCTCGGCGTTTGGGTATGTGCAAGCAGGGTTGTGAGTTACATTGGTACTGACTCGTTGGGTACGAGTAAGCCTCAACGGTAATGATTCTGAGGGAGTGATTGCGTATGTGTGGGTTATGATCTAATGCGGTCTGAGCAGGAGTGGGTCGCAAAACAAGAAAGTCTGGATATGACTCGGTCTGACTGAACCTGACTGGGTGTGAACATGAGTGAATCTGAATGCGAGTGAGTCTGAGTGCGAGTGACTCAGCATGAGCGGCTGAGTACGAGCACGTCTGAATTCAAGTGGGTCTGGGTGTGAAGGGGTTTGGGTATTCGTGCGTCTGAATGTCAGTCATCATTTGTACGGATGCGTTTGAGTATGGGTGGCTATGTTTCGGAATGGGACTGAGGTTGAGTGAGTCTAATTTTGAGCAAGCCTGACTTTGAGTGGCTGTGTATGAGCGGGCCTGATTATGAGCGGATCCGCGTATTGGTGACTCGGGTGAGGGCCTTTGGGTGCCTCTTTCGGCCTTCCGGGGTATCCTGGGCCCTCCTGGAGCGTCCTGAAGCCCCCTGGGGCCTCCTGGAGCCTTGCGGCCTCCTGGGAGCATCCTGGGACATCCGTGGGCCTACTTGGATTTGGTAGTCTCTTTCAGCCTCTGGAATCCTCCCGGTCCAAGTTCCTCCCTCATAAGTCCCTGCACGCTTTTTTGTCATTCGGAAACGCGTCCCTTGAACGACGAGCATCCTATGGGCGTCAGGCGAGGTCCGCGTTTTGAAAGGGAGCAGCTTTGCATCCTCCCAGCGGGGTTTAAGTGATGCGAAGAGGTAATGACGATCATGACGTTCAGCGGGGTGGCCATCAATAGCCCCGTCTCGAAAAAAGAAGCTGCTCTGCATCCTTCCAGCGAATAGGAAAGAGTGCGAACATGTATGCTCAGGAAGTTCAGGGAGCCGTGGCGCACACTGCAGTCCCCCTCCGCGGACGACTCGTGTGCACCGTGCCGCGTTGGCGTCTCCCGAGGCGTCGGCGATCCTCGATCCGGGGAGGGCACGGTGCATCGTGGTTCGGCCGCTCTCAGTGGTCCAAACACGGTGCAGTGGGCCGCTTCTCCTCGCCGCCCCGAGGGGGGGGGGAGAGGGGGCTCGAGGCTCGAGGAGGCCTTGCGGCTGGAGGCTCGAGGATCGCGGCTCGAGGATCGAGGATCAAGGAGGCTTCGAGGCCCGCGGAGGCTCCGAGGCTCGAGGATCGAGGCTCGAGGATCGCGGATCGAGGAGTCTTCGAGGCCCGCGGAGGCCTCGAGGCTCGAGGGTGCAATCCTCGTACTCCTGCCTGCAAGTTCGAGGAGGTCTCGAGCGGGACCCAGAACTTTCAAGCGGAGCCGTTGCGGCGTGTTGAGGTGCCCGTGCGCGGCGCTGGGGCGATAGCCCCATGCTCAAGACATGCTGCCCTCCGTTTTTTTATTTTTTTTTTTATTATTTTATTTTTTATTTTATCTCTTGTGGCCCCAAAGGATAACTCGAGCGACTCTGAGGCGAGAGACGCACTCTGGAGACGACCATTCCTCCATCTCTGCCTGTCGCAGTCATTTGGCCCAGGATCGCAAGTTGTGAGGAGGTACCGAACGACACGCCGCGCCTGGCCGGCGGGCGCGTCTGGTGGTGCGACGGGTGGAACATACGTCTGAGGGCACTTCCGGAGGAGGGGGGCGTGTGCACAGCCCAAAACGGCCATCGTACCCGAGATCTCCGACGCTGTGGGCACGAAGGGGCCCGTGAAGCACCTCTTGTCGACAGCCCATGCGGAGGCCGAAGCGCGTTGCCTGCTGCATTGTGATGGCCACGGGGCTCTCAAAAGATATTCGCCTACGTCCAACCGTGGTTGTCTGCTTGGGAAATCTTGACGATCAGGGCATGAGAGGGCCCATGTAATTCTCCAGGTCGACACCCTTTTTGGAGTCCCAAGTGCATGCTACATCGAGGTGATCACAGGGCTCTGGAAAGAGACACATCTACCCCCCGTCCAGCATCACATATTCAATTTGAGAGGTCCTGGCAGTCTGTGCACGAATGGGCCTGTGGCCAAACGCGATGCCTGCTCCAAGATGCTCACGGAGCTCTGAAAAGAGCTGCGCCCGCGTCAAAAAATTGCTGGCCGCCTGCGAGGTATCCCAGCGATCTGGACACGACTGGGCCCGTGCACCGCCCCTGGTCGACATGGCCCGTTTGGGAAGTCCAAGTCCGGTGCCTGCTACATCGCGATGGCCATGGGTTTCTGACCAGGGACGAGGAGGAGCAGGAAGAGGAGGAGGAGGAGGCGGAGAAGGAGGAGGAGGAGGAGGAGGAAGACGAGGAAAAGGAGGATAAGGAGGAGGAGGAGGAGGAGGAGCAGGAGGAGGAGGAGGAGGAGGAGGAGGAGGAGGGAGAGGAGGATGAAGAGGAGTAGCGGGAGGAGGAGGAGGAGGAGGAGGGGGAGGGGGAGGGGGAGGAGGAGTAGTCAACTCGAGATTTCCCGACAAGCTGCCCGCAAACGGGGCCGTGCGACGCGCTGGGTCGGCGTCCCTGCCGGAGGCCCGCAAGCGATGACTTCCTGCTACATCGTCATGGTCACGAGGCTCCGAGACCAGACCGGTCTACATCCACGATGCCTCCTGGGGAGGTCCAGATGCGGTGCCTGCTGCATCGTGACGGTCAGCGGGCTCTGAAAGCAGACACGTCCAGGTCCAACGGCGGGCCTTCGACTCGAGAAGTTCCGACAGTCTGGCCAGGAAGGGGCCCGTACCATTCGGAGGTGGATAGACCTCCTACCCTGACACGTCGATTAAGGAATTGGCCGTTTTCGGTTCGCGAGAGGGCGTCGCGGCCATCATTTTTGCGGGTCCGGGTCCGTCGGTTTCGGTCCCAGGCCGTTTTCATTAAGGGGAGGTTTGCTAAAGGGAGGTTTGTCCACCGCCGAACCACACCTCTGTCCCAGATGGGAGGCCCACGTGCGTTGCCTATTGCATCGTCATGGTCATGGGGCTCCGAGAAGGGACACGTCTACGTCCACAAGCGGGCCTTCGACCTGAGAGTTTCTGGCAATCTGGGCGCAAACGGGCCCGTGCAGCTCGCTGGGTCGACACCCCCAATGAGATGGCCAAATGCGATGCGTGTTACACTGCGGTGGCGAACGGTCCCGACAAGCTGGGCGCGACGGGCTCGGTGCTACATCCTTGGTCGGCTTCCCGACGGCGATGCTTGTTAATACTAGCGGTGATCATGGAGCTCTGGGAGGAGACACGTCTACGTCCAAAAAGCGGGCGTTCTAATCGAGAGGTTACTTCTGATTTGGGCGCGCACGGGCCGCGTGCGGCACTCTTGGTCAAAGGTCCTTTAGGGGGCCCAGTTGAGTGAGTGAGCCTGAGTGTGAGCGAGTCTGAGTGTGAGTAAGTCTGTGTGGGAGTCTGATTGTAAATTAATTTCAGTGGGGGTGAGTCTGAATTGAACGAGTCTGAGTACTACGAGTGGATCTGAGTGTGAGTGGGTCTGAATATAAGTGAGCCTGTGTATGAGTGTGTCTGTGCATGGGTGGGTCTGAGTACGAGGGAGTCTTAGTTTTAACTCGTCTGAGTATG